CCCAAAAAACCCATCAGACAAAACTTTTTTTTTCCTTTAAGCTTATTTAATGATATTTGAAACGCTTAGATTTTCTATTTCCCAGATCCTGAAACAGATTTTTTAAGTGACCAATATTTAATTCCAGAAACATACAACCTTATCAGCTAAGTCATAAAAGAGCTATTTTACAAACATACATCTGGATAATTAGAACAATAAAGTCTTTTTAGACATTCAAACATGATCAGTAAAAATACAGGATTATTAATAAAGATTTTTGTGTATTTTTTTTAAAGAATACTTCCAGATTTCTTCTTCTCTTTAAAGTAAATCTCTGTTAAGAGTACATGATTGTATGTTGTACAAAGAAAATAAAAGTATTTTAGTATGAAGAGAGCTCCAAAAGACTTAATTCAAARTAAAACAGCAGTGTTTTGGCTGCAGTATCCCTTTTGCAGTACATCTGCTTGTCAGTTGGCACCTTTGGGGGAAGGAGAAGGAAATAAGGGATTTCTTTGGGGAGCAGAGGAGCAAAATACCAAATACCATCAAGCACTCAAATCATAATCAAGGATCACCTGCAGAGGAACAGACTCCTCTTATAATAACTGGGACAGCATCTGTAAATCAGAATATCTGCGTTTTATGGAAACAAYGTGAATAGGCATAGTGCTATCTGAAAGCTTACCAAAACCATCCAGATCTCTTGGCTCTTCAGGTTTATATTCCTCAACCTTTCTTCTGATCTCATCTACAGGATCTTAAAGAATCTCCACTCCCTGCAGACAAGGCATGACCAAGCCATCAGAGTGATCCCACACTGTTTTGCTATTTGCTTTTCTCCTCTCCCACAGGCAAAAGAAAATTCCCCCTTCCAGAAAAGTACCCAGCCCTCCTTCTTCTGATCCATGCATGAGACCACRTAACAGCAGAGGAGAAAGCACTTCTCAGAAGAATATAAAAGTATGATTGCTATAATACATCCTTACTCCCCATATAAGAAACTCTTGGGCATTTAGTTTGAAAAAAATAAATCACTGGGGGAGGGAAAAGGAAGCAGGAACAAACAAACCAGAGATCAGTGTCCTATTCTGCTGTCCAGTTAGAATAAAGGAATGTACAATCACCAGTCAGGGACAAATTAACCGAGTCCCTTGCACTAGAAACTGGAATTTAAAGAAGGGTAATCTGTTGGCTTGAAGAGAAACAAGAAGTGAGAATCTTGAAAAGTGCATTTGAGTTCCAGCTCCTTCCACACAGGAAGGCATGTGCATGCAGTACACAGGAAACAAGGAAACAAACAGGAATCCTCTGTTATTTCAGGTTATGGCAATCCTAAGACAAAGAATCCCTCCCCCCAGCATCTATTTTTCTAGAGASGATTAATACCATATTTGTGAGAATGATCAATGTAGTATGAGAAGGCCAGATGAAACAAAATCCAAACAGGACACAGAACAGTGTGCCCTTCTATATTCCCCCCAAAACCTGACTCTGTCTCCAACATGCCCTAAAGCTCTCTGCAGTCTCCTTCACTTGAGACATTTCATGCATCCTGAAGTCTTTTTCTCTGCCATGAAAATGTTTCCTGTTGCACATCTAGGGAGGCGACAGGGACAGAACTGCACCTCACCTCCTAATGCATTTTGTCCAAGGCAGCATCAGGAGATGGTGGGCAAAGTCCTCCAGTTTAGCAGCTCTGGAGGCAGAAATGTAAAGGGCAGATGACATGGAAACCTTTCCAGCTTTTTCACTGTTGCTACACCTATTAGAGATGAAACAACACAGTGGAGGATGATGCTCCAAAATACTTACACAAAGCTGGAAGTGCTGTAAGCAGCATGTCCAGATTGTTCCCACAAGGTCCATCAGACCAGCTGCACACTTCTTGTGCAGGATGCTGCGCACCATGACCCTAAGGAATCTCACAAGGCAGAGAAAACCAAAAAACCAGAGACTTTGCCTTCAATCAYCAGGCCTTCACAGCTTCTRTCTTCGCTGGTCTATAAACATACCCTTGAAAACTCGAGATCAGCTATCTCTGTTCAGTACAGGTCAAGGTTGATTTTCAAGCAGCCATGGAAACTGCTAGAAAGCTTTAAGAGACCTAAGGTCAAAACAACTGCTCTTGTTTCTGGAGTGCGTAGTCCCAGACAGGCATCATGCCAACCGACCAAGGGAGCTTTGGGGTGGAAGAACAAGAGTCTTTTTCTGTAAGACAAAAAGGGGATTAAACACCAAGTCTGGCTACRACCCAGTTCTCTTTCTGGCAGGATCAGGCAAAAGCAGCATGAGGCAGCATTTTAACTTTGGAGCTTCTTGAAGGAAGTCTAGGTATTTATAACCGAAGGAACCATGTGGCTGAAGGTGAGGAGGAGAGATCCTACCCATGGAAGCGCTTGGCTAATACTGACAGTATATTCATGCAGGGGTAATAGAACACACATTGGTCACTCAAGAGGAAGAGGAAGTTCCTGCCAGAATGGAAGAAACACTTTGGCTTGTGTCGGCAGTGTAATGCTCCTGCTGGTGAAAAATAATACTTTGTGCAATTTGCTCTTAATGCAAGAGAAATTCCTCCCTGCTCTGTAATGGCTTATGGCTCTAACTTTCACACCAGGTCCCAAATCATTTCAGCTTTAACCTGTGTTGATGTTTATAAGAACTTATCCCTTGCATTTTTTTCTAATGAGAAAAAGAGGAACTGCTTTTTGCTACACAGGAATAGRAAAAGGGCAGATTTGATTCTCTGCCAGCAACTAAAGATAAGACATGTCTGTGTTAATGGAGCAGGGAGTCCCATCTTTATGCTGACTAGAGACAGATTCTCAGCACTTCCTGATCCACACTGTAATGCAGACAACACTGTAACAGTTCTAACATGCTAATGGCATTTACAGGTCTGATATACTGTTCAGTTTGGGTTAAGTGGTTTAAAACTAGGAAAGAGGATACAAAAAAGACTGTTTTACCCAATTTCCACTAGCAGTCTTATTAAAGGTGCCTGTGAGAGGGAGGACAGCTTGTATTACCCTGCTCCAAGCAGAAAGTGTCTGCTCTAGGAGCACTTTCAGAGCAGAGGCATGACCATTTTAAGCTGTCCAGTGAGAGCTCTTCTGCCAGCCTGACATTTACCATCTTGTCCCCAGAGTGGAAGGAACCCCAACAGCAAAACCCATTGGAACCAGCTTAAGGAAGTACTGAAAAGCTGTTTCAGCCATCTTTGCTTTGCACAGCTGCTTCAGCAAGAACCCATTGGCACAAATCAGTATTCAAAGGAAAAAAAAAGAGAGAGAGAGAGAGAGAGAGAGAGAGAGAGAGAGAGAGAGAGAGAGAGAGAGAGAGAGAGAGAGAGAGAGAGAGAGGAGACAGAAAAAAACACCCCAAGTCCTCAGCAAGACATACCTTCAGGTACTAAAATTTACTGGCCCTATAAATCAGCAGTACCTGTGGCTAACTCAAATGGCAGCCCTTATTCATTCAGTAGTGAATCAGGAGACAGACACTCATCTGCCCTGTATCTTTGAAACACTTCTGGGTTTGCATTTTTTTTTCTTTTTGATCCAGAGAAGAGTTACAAAAGTGCTGCAGGTCCAAGCATTTTTATCACTTTACAAAGAAGACAATGATGAAAGCCAACAAAGTCAAGAAAAAAAAATTAAATCCATCTTCCTGGTCTCCCAGTCCAATTCTGCRTGTCAACAAAGCAGATCCTAAACGGGAGAGGGGGAGGAAAAAAAATGTTTGCCAATCTCAAGTGCCTGGCTATTTAGTGCATGGAAAAATTCTTGTTACACATGTGATGACATAAGCAGTTCACATGCAACTGTAGAATACAGATAGTTCCAGCCACAGTCATCTTAACACCTTCATAAGTAGCTCTTCGCATGGCATGGCAGTTTCATTGCCCACAGGGAGTGCAGAGTCCAGTCCAGTGAAGATACACGTGCACACAGACACACTCTCTCCCTCTGAMCTGACCTGTTCAGGAACAGCTGGAGACAGAGTGTACCATGTGCAGAGGGCTAGAACTGCCACTACCCAATTAAAAACAAAACAATAAAGGCAAATTAAAAAATTAAAATGTGCTTTTGATACACGGAATGAAGTCAAATAAATACATTGATTTTCTTTTTAAATGTCTAAATACATTTTTATATCCTACACCCAAAGCTCTGTACATTTGGTTTGGTTTTTCTGTTCTGAATCAAAAATGAATTTCTGGTAACAAGGAGAGAGGCGTAGAGCAGAAGAGACTCCCTCACTGACAAGACAGTGCAGATGCCCCACAGGAAAACACCCAATGCCCACTCCAYTAGAGTGCGGTTCACACTTGGTGGCCCACAGACAAAAATCCTCATGTCTCAGAGTTCACGTAGAAGACAGTGGGTGCTGGGTACTGACACTCTTCATCCAACCTTCAGCCACTTCTGAAAATGTGACTAACTTTTATCTATAGGAGATTCAAAAAGAAAAGACAGAAAGAGAGGATGAAGCTACCGTGAGACAAATGGTTAACATTTCTTAACACACAGTATTAACAAAGAAAGCATGGTGTGTGGGACAGCYCACACATTTAACCTGAACATCTCTGTTAATACTTCTAGGAATTACAGCTCAAGGATACTCGAGGCCAATTTAAATGGACCCGTGGCAACCACTTCATACAGTGTCAGAAACACCACAGAGAAGAAGAACATTTAACATATTCCACAATCTGCCTTTGGGACTCTAAGTCAATTTGGCCTTCTTTGCAAGACAAGCTGCACATCCCAAAACATAGGGCTTGGGTAGGCAGGGGTGCCTTAGCTTACAAACTGCTTTTTCACAGGAAGGACGAGCTCCTCTGCCCATTTGTCTTACTGGGTTTCACTGACTTTTCCTGGAAACAGCATGGCCTCAGTCCTGTGGGAGCTGCTGAAGTAGCTAAAACCTTTTTCCTGCGGAACATTAATAACTTTGTGCTTTTTGGTTAATACCTGAAGCCAGTGTGGTGTATGCTATTAATTCACAGAAATTCAACAAGCAAAGGTCTGTTGCATACCTGAGTGCTCTCCTGTGGAGGCTGATCCAGCCAGCCCTTGGCGACGGAGAATGGTGTAGTCTTCCTCAACCTCCTAAAACACATAAAGAAATAAATAAGCCTATGATGGATAGGAAATCCACAACATAAGCAAAAAATCATTTTGGGAAAAATAAGTCTCGTTACTATCGCAAATTACTACTTTCATTTTACTGTAGGAACAACAGGCAATGCACTTAAGTTTTTTATATCAGGTAATTATTTTCCTTAGGTCAGTGGTCCCTTCAAAAGTCCACTGGTACAGATTTGCATTGGTTTGTCCTATCCCTCAAGAAAAGTATGAATCTCCTAACTAACACCAAAGTAACACCTCCTACGTCTAATTGCTTGCTTCTTGGAACCCAGAACCTAATGCAAGTGAAATGGCAGCAAGCTGCTGCTTCAAATGCTTCCGCAGTTAAGAGCCAAAGACAGAAAGGGAGACTACTCCCTTCATTAACAACAAGGAAGGAGTCCTTTTGCAGTTTGCTACCTTTTGCAGTTTGCTAACTTTTCAAGCTCTCTTCTAAAACAAAGCCTAACAAATACAGAAATCCTGGAAACTGTAAATATAAATACACTATACCTTTAATTTTTCAAGGTCATTCTCTATCTTCTGAATATACTGCATCATCTGCATCCGTGACTCTATAGAGAAGTGAGGGCTTGCTACAACTGAGCAGGGCTCTTCAACTGCCCCCCAGTGCGAGGCCATCATCTCCTCAGCAAACGGGGARCTTCCTCCATCCGACTGGGTGTCCCGTGGGGAAATGGTGTGTCTCCGTGCAGAGTCCAAAGAGGTGCGGGCACCTGTCGTGCACTGGAGAACCAGAGACGATACCTCCTCATCCGTGGAGCTCTCCTGCACTGTTCCATACCCATCAAGGATCAAATAATTTCCTGTTAAGAAAACAGCTTTTTAGTGGCATCTCCAGTTCAATAATCACCAGGAATCACTGAACTGTAGGCAGTTTAAGCAGACTTTAAGAAGCTAAGTACTGAAAGGCTCATCTCTTGAGACATTTTAAAATGGATATGAAAAGCATTTGTGAATATTACATAGAAAAGTGATGATTTTAGTAGTGATTATTTGAGACCAGACTAGTTTTGTTCTGAACTGGGCTTCACAGATTATAAGGGGTTTCTGGACTGCAGCTTGAGAATTACCTGATTAGATGGACTAATCCTCTTTTTTTTTTTTTTTTTTTTTTTTTTTTTTTTT